AAAATCAACCAAGCATTGAAGAAAAGGGTGAAATTCATGGATGATAGCACACTTGTAGTAAAGGGTATTGGTGACATATCAATCAAGAGGAAGAATGAAGAGCATTCCTTGATTAAAGATGTGTTGTATATTCCGAGAATAAACTTAACCTTTTAAGCATTGGCCAATTGCTTGAAAGGATTTACAAGATTCACATGGAAAATAAAGTGTTGAAAGTTATGGATGCAAATGAAAGTTCGATCCCAATGGCCTATATGCTCAAAACAAAACATTCAAAGTTGAATTGAAACTAATGGAGCATAGGTGTCTTGCAACGACTTCTAGTAAGAAGGAATGGATATGAAACTATAGGCTTAGACATTTGAATTGAAGGTTCAATGAAACACAAGAAAGTGGGGTTTGAATTGAGTTTCAAGATTTATAGTCTTTTTCAAAACACCCAAATCACAACCTGAAAATAGTAGAAAGGATAAAGAATACAAGATTTTATTCTGATTCACCGTTAACTAGGTTACCTCTAGTCCACCCAACCCAGGCGATTTTTCCTTATCAATAAGGACTTAATCCACTAACAAAAATCGCTTTGATTATAACCACAAAGATAACTTGTCTAAGTATTCTTGAGGATCCTGACTAAATCTTTAGTCCCCTAAGGAAATATTAACCAACCTGGTTAAGTTACAAAGAGTTATGTTTACAAAGTGCTTCTCAACAAGCAAATACACATAGTTACAATACAATGAGCAGTTTTAGAAAATAATAAATTTTGAATTCCAGACGACGTTAAACAACCTTCACCGCGCTAAGCGCGCTTCACTGAACATAGAAAAATTATATGGAGACAACTTCTGTCCCCTACGAATTAGGTTACCAAAACTCACCCCAATCAGCCATTTTTCATCATTTAAATATATTATAACATATATCTATAATATAGCATCAAATACAAACATCAAAACATGATTTCTAACATCAATTTCATGATTTCACATTCAAACCCTAACATGTCAAAATCTAGAAATTGAAGAACAAATCTCTAGTTCATGTTACTACCCATTACATACTCATATATAATCCCATAATAGCAAGAAATCTCACCCTTACCTTAGATGTAGTCTCTTTCTAAGCTTTTCCTCTTCTCTTCTCCTTTTCTCTATTCTTCCCTTCTTTTCTCCTTTTCTCCTATTCTCTTGTTTTACAATTCTATCTCTTTTGTTTCATAACACCTTACTAACCCTTATTTCACTAATGGGCTTATCTTACCCACCCATTTTAATGTGACACTTAAGGCCCAATACTCAATATTGCTATTCTAACACTTATTAAACTAACACACAATTAAACAATTAATTCAAATATTCACGAAATCACACAATTTAATTAATCACTATATCAAATAATAATTAATAAAATTAATAATTATTAAAATAATTACAAAATAAAAACGAGGTGTTACAACTCTCCCACTTAAAAGATTTTCGTCCTCGAAAATCACCTCAAATAAACAACTCAGGATAAGACTCTCTCATCTGACTCTCCAATTCCCAAGTCACGTTTCCACCCGCCGGTCCTCCCTAAGCTACCTTCACCAAGGAAATCTCTTTATCTCAAAGTTACTTTAACTCTCGATCATCTATCTGCATAGGTGATGTCTCCACAGTCAAGTTATCTCTCACTTGCACGTCATCTAATTGGACAACATGAGACAGATCTGCAATGTAACTCCTCAACTGAGACACATGGAGCACATCATAGAGATTAGCAAGTGGCGGTGGCAAAGCAATGTGATAATCCATTTTACCTACTTTCTCTAGAATCTGATAAGGACTAATAAAATGCAGCGTCAACTTACGCGACTTCATAGCTCGACCAACACCCGTTACTGGAGTAACTCGAAGAAAAACATGATCTCCCTTCTCAAACTTAAGATCATTCCTCCTCTTATCATGATAACTCTTCTGACGACTCTGAGAAGTCTTCATCTTCTCCTGAATCATCTTAATCTTATCCATAGTCTGCTGAACTATCTCAGGTTCAACCACATCACTCTCTCCAGATGCATACCAACACAAAGGCGTACTACACCTTCTATCATACAAAGCCTCAAATGGTTCTATTCCAATACTCGAATGAAAATTATTGTTATAAGTAAACTCAATTAAAGGCAAGTAACTATCTGAAGTGCCTTCTTATTCCAAAACACAAGCTCTCAAAATATCCTCAAGTGGCTGAATCATCATCTCAGTCTAACCATCTATTTGCTGATGATAAGCAAAACTTAAATGCAACTTCATACTCAAAGCATTCTACAAACCTTCCCAAAATCTCGGAGTAAGCCTTGTATCCCTATCTAACACAATACTCGACGAAATACCATGCAAACTTACAATCCTTTCAATGTACAACTTTGCAAGTCTCTCCATCGGATAATCCATTCTCATCAAAATAAAGTGTGCAGATTTTGTCAACCTATCCACGACAACCCAAACAACTTCACAATTACTCGGAGTTCTAGGTAAACCAGAAACAAAATCCATAGAAATACTCCCATTTCCATTCAAGAATAGATAATGGTTGAAACTGACCAGATGGCTTCTGATGCTCAATCTTCGACTTCTGACAAGTCAAACAAGAATACATAAATTCCACAATCTCTTTCTTCATACCTACCCGCCAAAACAATTTCCTCAAATCTTGATACATCTTAGTAGCTCCAGGATGAATACTCAATCCATTATGATTCCCTTCTTCAAGAATACGCCTCTTTAACTCAAACAAATCCAGAACACAAAATCTATCACGACATCTCATAATACCATTCTCATCAATCCAGAAATCGCCACCTCGACCATGGTTGATCAATGTCAAATTATCCACCAAAACCAAATCAGATTTCTAACCTTCTCGAATCTCATCAAGAATTCCACTAGTAAGCTTCAACATACCAAGTTAACAAAAGAAGAAGTCTCTTCACAAATTAAACTCATATCTCAAAATTTCTTAAGTAACTCCAACTCTCGCACCATCAACACCGACATATACAAAGACTTCTTACTTAACGCATCATCTACAACATTCGCTTTACCAGGATGGTAATTCAAACCAAAACCATAATCCTTCAAAAGTTCCAACCATCTTATTTTCCTCATATGCAACTCTTTTTGATCAAAGAAATACTTCAAACTATTGTGATCACTAAACACATCAAATCTTGATCCAAACAGATAATGCCTCCAAAGTTTCAATACAAACACAACAACAACTAACTCTAAATCATGAGTCGGATAATTCTTTTCATGCACTTTAAGTTGCCTTGAAGCATAAGCTACAACCCATCGATTCTGCATCAACATACCTCCCTCATAAACCCATAAATGAAGCATCACAATACACAACAAACGGTTATGTCGGGTTAGGCAAAATCAAAATAGGAGTGATTGTCAATCTTCTCTTAAGCTCTTGAAAACTAGATTCACATTGAGTAGTCAAAATAAAATCTTGACCCTTCCTAGTCAACTGCATTAACGGTAAAGCTAACTTGGAAAAGACTTCAATAAACTTCTGATAATAACCTGCTAAATCAAGAAAACTTCTAATCTCATAAACAAATTTCAGAGTTTCCCATTGAGATACAACCTCAATCTTCAACGGATCAATAAAAATACCACCACTCGATATCACATGACCAAGAAAATTCACTTCCTTTAACCAAAACTCACACTTAGAAAGTTTAGCATACATTTGCTTCCCTTTCAACACAGATAAGAAAATCTTCATATGCTCAACATCATCCTCTTCACTTTTTGAGACAAGTTTCTTATTCTTTTCACTGTTTGTTTCAGCAAAAAGAAATGACTTTCGAACAAACAGTAAAGGATCTTTAAGCTCAAAATGATTAGTTCCAACCAATGTTCCTGGCTCTGGCTAAGGGACAAGAAGATCTGAAAAGCTCTTATCATCAAAGAGAAGACAAAGAAGACAAAGAAACCAGCTGATGTATTGAACTTGGGAAGAAGGTTCAGAGGACCGGCTAAGCGAGCTCTAGATTTCGCAACCCCGTCAAATGAGGGGGACAATCAAGAAGAGAAGCCAACAAAAGAAAACAACAACCCCGAGACTGATGAGGAGGAGACTGATTACTCTGAAGAACAGTATCCTCATACTGATGATAAATACAAACAGCTGGAGGATCGTCTCAATGCTATGGAGATTCAGAGGGTACCCGGACTGGATTTTGAAGAGCTAGGACTAGTCTCAGGAGTGGTCATCTCGCAGAAATTCAAGGTCCCCACCTTTGCTAAGTATGATCGTGTCTCCTGTCCTAAACTGCACTTAAGATTATATGTCAGGAAGATTCAACCCCACACTACTGATAGAAATCTGATAGGATTCTGGTTAGGGCATCACATTCGCCATATTGAATCTGCAAGTTGAAACATCTTATTTAATATGTTACTGCAAAGTTAATTTTATCAAAATTCATGTCAATCATAATTTCAGAGAAATAACACTAATAATTAAAGAACACAATTGAAAAAATAATAATTATTACTACATTGAAAAGCGAAAATGCTATTCATTTTTGAAACAATTTTTTTTCTTTAAAATGACACTCATTTTGAAATAGAGTGAGTATAAAATTGTTTCTTGAATTTACTTGTTATTAGAATTTACTTACTTTAAAAAGATATTACTTCCATTACACGTTGCTATGAGTTTTTCCCTTGTCTAAGAAGATTTTCTCTTGGATATCCCAAACCCATTTTTATTTGTCTGAGTTTTTAATGAAACGTAAAGATAAACAAGTGTTTCGTTTGGATAACCGAGGCTCTTAATGGTTCCACTAACAGATGTGATTAATGGTTTCCCTTTTCAAAGTGCTCTAGAAACTAGAAAACGTTTAAGTAGTACCCCATTTAATAATAAAAACTCTTTATAACCATTTTTCATCCCTGTACGCTAGTACTTCACTATCTTGTGTGTTCTTCTGTTGATATACTATGGCATTGGCTTCAATCAAACCCGAATCAATTGAACAAGTTGATAATGTTCAACTGAGAGTTTTGGTTGATAAAGAAAGGAACAGAGTTGTGTATGCTGAGGCTGGGAAGGATTTTGTTGATGTTCTCTTCAGCTTCTTAACATTGCCTTTAGGGACTATTGCTAGACTCGTAGCTAAAGACTCAAACATTGAAGCAGTTAAATTTGGAAGCATTACCTCACTGCATCAAAGTGTGTCTGATCTTGATCAACAATATCTATGGAATCAAACTTGCAAAGAAATGCTACTCCGTCCTAGAAACTCTATGGAAGATTATTGCCACAATCTCAAATTGAATATAGATGACACGGAACCTGTGCAATACTTCCTGTGCAAGAAATTGGATTGTAGAAAGAAGAGTGGGTGCCTTTTGAGCATATTCAAGGATCAAAAATGCTATTGTGGGGAAGTAATGAAATTGCAAGCCTTCCGTAGTTGTTTTAATCTAGAAGATGGTTTTGTAAAGGAGAATGCGACTTTTATCATTTGTGATGATCTTTACGTGATGCCTAATGTTTTTGGAGCGAGTCTTCAACTACTTCAAAAGCTTGGAGTCGATAGTGTGGATGCTATTGAGGAACAAACTGTTGTCATCAACAAGAAAGAGGCATGTTTTATCAGCTTCTATGTTTTATCTTTAAACATTTGATTATTTTCTCTAATTGTGTATTTCTTGCTCGATTTATGTAGGTAGTTGATCTTCTAAAGTTATCATTAATCTCAAAGGCCCCTTTAACCGAATTTATTTTTAAGAACCAATCTGTTGGTAATTATTCTAATCTAAGAAACAATATTGAGTATCTGATCAGAGAGACACCTTCGGATGAGGATAGGCAGATGTCTGTGAAAGTTACGTTGAGAAAATCAAATGAAAAAATTCTGTTTGTTGAAGCAGATGATGATTTTATTGACTTTGTTTTTAGTCTTCTAACCTTCCCCTTAGGAGGAGTGTTGCAAATGCTTCAAGGATTGTCTTCTCTAAGCTGCATTGATAATTTATACAAGAGTTTGTGTGACTTGAGTCCAGACATATATTTCACGTCACATGAACTCAAACACAAACTAACTAACCCTCCCATTGCTGCTCAATATGAACTCAGCAACCAGATATTGCCAATTGTTGGAGCTTCCATACCTATGAATTATTGTCATCGTTACTATGATTACAAAAATCAGAGGCTTGTTACTGAACTTACAAAAGAAATGGTATATTTTAACTATAATAGGCTTTGTGACGAAACATTTGCACGACTTAAATTGGTTGATCCCAAGTCCTCTACTTCAAAGTCGTCATTTGCCAAAGGACCGTCAATGTACATGGTCACAGATGACTTGTTTGTTAGTCCAATGTCATCCATTTCTACTATGGCATTTCTAAAAAAGTCCAAAGTCCCTCTATCTGATTTGGAGGAAAGAGTTGTCAAAATTGGTGTCAAGGAGGTAAGTATGCACATGTTCATACTTCATCTTATAATTTTTTTATTTGTTAACATTAGACTTACTCTTTTGTTACATGTTGCAGGGTCTTAACATTCTAAAAGCTTCCTTAATCTCAACATCTGCTTTAACAAATGGTCTCAACCAATTTACAAGAACAGTTAAGGTGAAGAAATGACATTTTTTTTTCCAGTTTAGATTGCATGATTCTCTATAATAACTGTAATGTGTGATAAAGATGGATAACCTAATCAACTTAACTTTGTTAATAAGGATATACAGGTCTCAACCTCTGCCTTATCTGCTCCTCAAGATGCTGTGAGATCAGAATTTAACTTTGAGGCATTAGGCATAGATAATACTCAAAGTTTGGTTGTTCAGCTTCCGGAAGCTTCAAGCTGTACTCAAGATTCGCAGCTTCCAAGAGCTCCTTTAATGGAAGAATTGCCACCGCCTCCGAACATACAGGTAAAAATGTAAATTATTTACTAGCATCATCTTTGCTAATGCAGCAATTGCTAAACATAATTCTCTTTTTGCAGGAACCACACATGAATATCGCAAAAAAGGTCAGTTTTGTCACTCATGTCATACAAAGATCCAATGTTGATATATGTTGAAGTCCTATTGTTTCTGCTTAAATTTTTTTCATTTTTGCCGTAGACACCTATGTGTGATATTTATCTGCACGAGCAAATGCAGCTAGTTGATTGGTGTGTCTTCACGTCTTACATGCATACTCATACTGTGTTTCCAATTTCTATTTACTTTGACACACTTTGTATACTTTCATGTTTTGACATATCTTATTATAACCAATGATGGCAAAAAAAATTTCCCCTCATTTGAATTCAGGAGAATGAGAACACTGCTTCATCAGTACCGGCTTTGCGAAGGTCAGCTAGGAAACGTAAGGGAGGAGGTCAAGCTTAATCGGACACAGATACAAAAGCATGTGGCGAATGGTGCTTTGTTATGACTTTGATTAAGTACTTTTCTAAGAGTGTGTTTGAATTAATTGCAAATGTATTTTTGGTTTATAAAGACCACATGTTATGATATGCAAAAAAATTGGCATGAGTAGCCATTGGCCTAAATCATCCAGCTTTACTATGATGTTAAAAAATTTCTGTTACATGGTAGCAATATGTCATGTATTGGCTTCAAATTTCGGTTATGACAGAAGAGAGGATTTGAACCAAAAAATACGGAGAAAATGTATGACAGGTTGGGACCTTTTTTCCACCTATAGCTGTAGGGCATATAAAAATATCTTAAAAATAAATAAAATTGAATAAGATAAGAGAAAGAAAGGCAAAAAAAAAAAAGTGATAAAAACTCCATTTCTTAAGACCTGCTTCATGAAAAGAGGATCAAGATAATTCACCATAGAATGGAGTTACAAAATCAAAGCCTTTACTGTTGTTAATAAACCAAAACAATATTTTTCATTTACAGTTACAACAAGACAGGAATTTTATCCCATATTCATATTCAGTGAAGTTGTTGAATACTTTTTCTACCGTGTTTATTATGAAAAACACATACAAAGAAAACAACTACAGATAACCTTTGTTTAAAATTATTTGTATAATTTCAATTCAATTGACATTTGCTGTTGAATTTTCCTATATGAAATTAGAGTAGACATAGATCTTTTTCTAGGTATTGAATAAGCTAAAACAATTATTTTGGAAGGAAGTGATTCAAGTTTTTCTAACTCATAAGTTCTGTCAAAATGTATATGTTCTATGCTCACAAAAGGATAGATCTTTTTCTAGGTATTGAATAAGCTAAAACAATTATTTTGGAAGGAAGTGATTCAAGTTTTTTCTAACTCATAAGTTCAGTCAAAATGTATATGTTCTATGCTCACAAAAGGTTCAAATTCAAGGTCTTACTTGATGCAAGTTCAGTCAAAATAACCCAACGTATAAAATTTAGCTCTCGTGATATTTAAGGTAAATTTTTTCTGATATTCATTTGTTGTACCCCAAAATTTGTCTTCCCATATTTCTCAAAACATTGCAAGAAAGATCCTCAAGTTACTCAAAGAAGTCCAAGGGTTGACCAGACAAGCTCTCTCCTAAGGCAGTCTACCCCAAATTAGGGTTTTGTGTTGCATCAAGATCCTTGAGTCCAAGTGGTCCCAAATTCTCACCAATGTCCTAATATGTTCTCAAGATCATCCATGTAAAGTTTCAAGTCCTACAGAGGAAGTTTGCTCAGTCAATTGCTCAAAGGTCCAAAAATCGACTGTGCTAGGGCAAAAGTCAATTGTGACCTACATACAGTCAAATTTCAAGATTTTTTTATCAACATCCTCATTTTGAATTATATTTCATCATTTGATCAAGGGTTGATCATGATTCATCAAGGATTGCTCATAATTCATCAAGACTCAAAAGTTGCTAAATTAGGGTTTTGTAGGAAAAGTCAACTCAACTTTGACCAAACATAACTTTCTCATACTTTATGATAAATGACCCATCAAAATATAATTTTGAAGAGGATGCAATTTCCTACAATCCATATTCATATCCCAAATTCAAAATATGCACTCACAAGAAGTTATGAATTTGGATATTATAGGTCATTTTGAAAAGTCAACAAAAACACCTTTTTTGTCAAAGCTTCATACATGAGCACGGAATATTAGATTGAAATGAGACCAAAAGTGTTGCTTATAGGACATCTCAAGCTTTCTAAAAAGTCCAAGAACACCTCAAAAGAGTCAAAATTGAGGAAGTTGTGCATTGGTGAAGTTGATTTTTTTTGCAAAATTGCCAAAAGTCAACTATACCCAAAACTTCAAATTTTGTCAAATGGGTCCAATCTTTTTCACTTGTTTTGAGTTGGCAACATAGCTCACGTGCTCTAGCCTTTGCCACTTGTCCATATTTTATTTTTATCATTTTTTTTGTTTTTATTTGAATTAATTCAATTTAAATCAAAATAAATCAAATAAAATCCAAAAACATTGAAACCAAGGATTTTGTAATTATTTCAGGTATTTAGTTATAGATTGCAAGCATTCAAATTCGTGAAAATGCATAGAGTGGATAAAAAGATTGAAAAAGCCATGTTTGGAAAGATTTTAAAGAGGAATCAAATCAAATATCAAAAGCATTGAAGAAAGAAGATTTGGATGCAATTTGCAACCCTAATCCCTTCACTAATACATAAAGACTGCATGCAGATCAAAAGGAAGGTTGGAAAGAGGCACTAGAACAAGAACCAGTTTTGAAAAAAAAGAAGCAAAAAGTGTAAGATCGAATTGATAGTTAGAGGCATCCTCAAGGCTTGTTATTGATCCCAATCGTTTCCTAGCATTCTCAGGAACCTAAAGCTATCAAGAACAAGTCTGTTCCGGTCCCTAATCGCACTGTAAGTCGTTCACATTACACCCCTATTCTTGAATTCGAAACTCACGATTTATGCATTATTAGGTTGAAATAATTGTATATTCTTGATCACCATAATATTTGCAAGCTTTCTGTATTACTCAATTTCGTTTATATGGCATGTAGCGTTAATCACCATTGCTAGGTTTTCGAGCTTGGTTTTAGGGCTTTCAATTTCAGGGACAATTGGCCTGTGTAATGGGTACGGTTGTGATCAGGAGGACGAGACGAATCTAACCATGGTGTTAGATGTTATTTCCATGGCCTGTGGAGGATTTTGAGAGCACGCAGTCTGTAGCAACGAACATTTGTCCGTAGGTATAGGCTAATGGACTTTTAGCGACGGTGCCATAACAAGGACGAAGACGTGGCCAGCCTCCATTCGCCCGTTTGAATTTCGCGCGGAATTTCTTTTGTTTTTTCTTGTTTTATATATTATCATTATTCTATGTTTTATGAACAAATAAAAACAAGTGTCCCAGCGGAAGCCAGCTAAGCGTTAAGGTCTTGGAAGGCTGGAGGTCAGGGGTTCGATTCCTGCCTCCAGCATTTGCTATTTTCCCATTTATTTTTAGGTGATTCAGTGCAAGTGAAGCCAGGATGTCCATCATACTCCCTCATCATCCAACGCGCCAGATGGCCAGATGGTCAGATCTGGTGGCCACCACTGAGAGTGCACCATAGGCCAAGTCAAACATGCCATACATGATTGCAAAAGTCAGCGTGGACCATCCCTAATGGGCCCAGGAAAATTGTCGTTGGGACCCCAATTCAGACCCATTTTCTCATCCTTCTCTTATATTTATTTTTTATTTCATTTAATTACTTATTATTTTTTACTAACCAATTAAATAATTTCCTTTTTTATCCAAAAAATCACAAAAAAACATTTTTTTATCCAATTAAAATCAGAATTTTTATTTTTTGTCAATAAATTAATTAAATTAATTAGGTTATTTATGTTAGATAAACTTTAATTTATTTTTCAAATAATTAAAACTAATTAGAATCAATAGGTTTTTAACACTAACTTAATTATTTTATTTCTTTCCTAAAATAACAAAAATCCAAAAATATGACATTTAATTATTTTTCATTAATTAATTTAATAACTAATTAATTTAGCATTTAATTTTAAGACTTAATTTCTTTTCTTAAAAAATATTAAAAACAACAAAAATATTTTCTTTTTTAATTAGGATAGAAGGGTCAAAACCCTAGTTTCGCATTCGATCTAATTATCTCGCGCGTTTTATTTTTATCCAATTATTGTATCTGCTCCCGGTTTGTAATAATTAAATTATGACACTTATTTATTTTTACCGCTTTTAATTTCAAAGGGTTTGTTTTTGGCTATGTAAATACCCGAAGCCTTGTAATAGCTTAGTTTAAATTCCGCACTTTAATTTCTGCAAATATTCAACTATTAGATGTTTGATAATAGGGTTTGCATGACAAGAATGAATGTCTGAATTTAAAACAGTTAGATCGCCCTAAATGTGCAAAGATAAAATAATCTGAAATTGACACACTCGCACATGCGCACTCCTAGGGTACACTCCCACTTGGTTGCCTTTGTTAAAACGGTCATTGAGTATAGGTTGTTTTAGAGGTCGCCCTCTTGTCTAAAAGATTATAAGTTGCCTCGAAATGGTTGCCTCGGATATTGTTGCATCAGATAAATGATCTAAGACATTAGGGTTACCACTAAGACGTCCTAACATTTCTTTAGTGACTGTACGACCCTTTTCGAATTGACCCTCAAACTCCAACGACGGTGCTACCTACTCACTAATAATAGGATAGCGTTGTCTAAAGGAAACAAACATAGAATGATTCCTTTTTCGAGTAGGTAGATTAGTTCTTAAGTACTTGCTTATCCAAAACAAATTTTTCACACTTACACTCCTTTACAAACAAAGTTTTCAAAAACACTTCATTACACTCTTGAAGACAGAAACAAGAGTTAAATCAAAGTCAAAATAAAAACTATTCAAAACCCACAAACACAAAGAAAACAATTTTGAAAATGATGAGCAAGTACCTAAGAGCCCATAGATAACTACAGATAGAAAGGGTGTTAATACCTTCCATTTCTATAAATCTACCCCCCGTACTCAGAAATATCTCGAAAAAGGAATTTTTCTGTGCTTTTTTCCTTTCTTGTTGGATAAAATAAAAGACGGTGGCGACTCTTGCTTACCGCGACATTTTGCGAACACAAACGCAAAACGCAAACCAGCATTTCTAAAACAGTCAGTTCTTCCACCGTATCACACCATTTTTTATTACACTCATCTTAAATTTTGAACTGACTTGAATGTTGGAGTGCTAACCTTGCAGATTCATCCCACGTTACTATATCAAAGATCAGCCCCACCGATTTAGGATTCTTCAACAACGATATATACTAATTTTGATTCCTCAATAGAACAATGACACCGTATGTAAGAATTGACTCCTAATTCTCAAAAAATTCCACATGCAGGTCATTATCGATCTAAAGTCACATTTCTATCGAAATTGAGA